GTCAAAGTATAATGTTTATTAATATATTTAAATGTACATTTCGAAATCGATTCAATTTTCATGTCTTTTCTTGCAGGAATCTCCATCTTCAGTACCAGTAGAAGACTTGACCTACCAGCATAAGCCTTGGAGCCAACCACTTCCCATTTTAGTATCATACCGTATGGTCCTGACTTTTTCAAAAATGGTAAATTTGAAAAATATGTGGGTCCTATAGGACACAGTGAGGTCAGTGAAGTCAGTTAATGAAAATTAAATCTACATGTTGACTAAATTGCTAAGCCTAATGCCCCAGGCTAGTAAAAAATGTTAACTTTGAAACATAAGTTGGGCTTTTTTTTCTTTCTTCTTTGAAACAACCTTCAAACTATAGTTCACTAATAATTATGTTGTATCTCTCGGCTATATATGACCCCTGGAAGGGGCTAGCATGATTGTATTCTACGGTGGTAACAGACCTGCAGAAAACTTTGGTATGTGTCTATGGATGGCCAGTAGGTGTTTTTCATTATAGGACACTAATTTCAAATATTTCAATGTTATAAGGTCACCATGCTGGAGTGACAGGACCCTAGGAGCAATCACAGTTAGTACGAGTGTATCTATCGTTTCATAACCTGCAAAGAACTTAATTCATGTACTTAATTTCTAAGTACAAACAGACAAACAATAAAGAAATGATGATGTTACAACATCTCTCATTTACAAGCTTTACCTGGTCTATAGGTGACATGCAAACACAATTAAATTAGCTCAAAGATGATTCAAAATATGTATTAAGTAGTTATGAAAGATGATTCTAAATCAATATTAAGTAGTTATATATAATTATGGTTCCCATTTTGTAACCCTAAACCAGCATTCAATTTCTCCATATTCCAATATTGGAGAAGCTCTATTCCTTTTAAAAAACTAAATGATAAAATAATTTCATCTTTTACATTTTAATGTAAGAAAGCATTATATAGTGAACATATTTTGAACCTAAAGCATGATACCACTGTACCAGTATCTTCAGAATCCAGAGGCTGCAAAAGATATAAACAGGACAATTGCAATTACAACACAGAAATGATTAATACACAACAGTGATCTCACCAAGTTATACAAGAGACACATGGACCTGAGTTGTAATGCATTTATGTTCTTTGTTGTAGTGATGTACAAATCAAACAAAAACAGAACAAAAGTTCATTTAATTCAAAAAGGCTTTTTGAATTCCTTGAGAGAAATTCATAATGGGAGTTACCAACCTATATTATTGATATATCATTTTTGGCGGGTATATAATTGTCGGACATACGGTATATATTGCTGACAATTTTCAGAAAAAAATGATAAAGTGGAGGAATGAACAACACGGGGGTAATGAAATAACAATTTCAGATATAGCGACTTAAGACATAACCATCCATGAAGAGTGTTTGGTTCTAGTCTATCTGGATCTGAAGAGGATGATTATTGAAATTTCAGCCAATTAACCGTCTTTGGCCCCTCCCAACAGGCCCTAGGGAAGGACCAGATCCTGAATGTTCATACCATCAAAATTCAGTCACATGATACAAAAATGTAGTAATTCCAAACAACTTTGAATTTGTACCCAACAGTGTTATTTCCCCATATAAACTACAGTAAGGCCAAAACAAGGTTTACATTTGCTTCGGGAACCAGATCATGACCTACCTTGTTTGTGTCCTGTGGACCTTAGGGAACATTTTATCACCTACTTTATATCCATGGAGATCATTTTAATAGTCCGGCAAAGCTTACATGCATTGTTATGGTCTTGGGATCCTGACCAAATTTCTTCACAGAATAATAACAATTGAAATGCATAGAAATTCATTTTTCTTACATTTGTAATTACACTGTAAGTATATATTGATCCATACAAATTAAAAATAATCAAATAAAATTGCCTGCTTACTGACCAAACCTATTTTTCTCTGGAATGTTGCCTCAAAATCATATATTTTGGTTTTAGCCTAAACATTGACCCTTTCTCAAGGAAGAATGAATGATCCAGAGGCAGCAAAATATTCATAAACTTTAAATAGGCCTACAGGACCCTTCCATCTATAAAGAGTGTTGGCTTTTAGCATATCGGTGCCTAAATAAGAAGACTGTTGACAATTGAGTCAATTTGACCTCTTTTTGGCTCAGATGAGATCCGCATGTAATTAATAAATGTGGCTTGCATTTGACTAGCTTAAGTTCACAGATCATAAATGAAATACTCATTGCCTACCAAGATGTTCGAATGTCCTGTTGTTGTATGAATGCAGTAAAGAACAAATTAACAAGGATACATATATTTATATAAAATGTACCAAGTAATGGGAAATGAGTTGTATATAACCAGTTGTTTATGTTTGTATATGTTTGCAGTATTTACAAAATTTCAAGTTGTACTAATATTTCCACCAGGATTTGAACCTGGGTCTCCCACTACAGAGTGGCGAGTGTGATGACCATTACACTATAGAAATATATATAGCACAACTGACCTTTTCTTTCAAGATTTTTTTTCATTTTTAAAATGTTTTCACCTTTGCATTTATATTTACATTTTCCCTTTGCTTTTCTTATCACATTGGAAACTAATTGAATTTTACGATCGGCGGCGTGGCACGTGTGTGTATTAACCTCTACAGTTAAGAAAGCATCGCAACACATTATCTTTAAAAATACTTAAGTAAGCGACGATGTATGTTCCTCTTTTGCATAAAGAATAGATCTTTCGATCCAAGTGCGACATGTATGTGAAAGTGACGATTTGTTTATAAAATATCCCTGGCGCGGGTCGCTTATTTCTCGCATGTTATAGAGGGCCGGAGTTCTGTCGTTAATCGACGCCAGACCGATTCGGACTAACGTGTGTAAAGAAATCTACTGATCGTGAAGCGTCTTCAAACTATATCTCTAAAATTAATCTGAAAAGTGATCGACATCAGAAGATATGTTATGCATATGACTATAATAACATACTTAATTGGATGCACAAAACCAATACATCAAAAAGTTAAAAGCTTTTAAGGGTGCCTGAGTTATGAATTTATTTAGATTTGCTCAAGACAAATTAATATTAATGATTTCAGCTTCTGAAACCAAATCTGACTTGTTCACAGCTGCAAGACTTTTAACTCACCTCCAATACAATACAGTCAAAACCTGCCATACTACATTTTACATAATTTTGTGAATTAAATTTCGATGTCTAAGGCTATGAATGCAATTAACTTATTAAAGCAGTGCTCGTCCTTGAAGTTGTTTACCCAACAACTCAAATATCTAAACACCTCACGAACGGGATATTTTAAAAAAATGTATCCTGACTGGACTTGATCTCTGAGGAAGTGTTACATCAAAAGTCTAATGTAGGTGTTTATGACCAGGTATCTCAATGGTCTATGATAAGTATTTGTAAACAGGTATCTCAGTGGTCTAGTGAAAGTTTGTAACCAGGTATCTCAGTGGTCTATAGTAAGTTTTTGTGGCAAGGTATCTCAGTGAACTATATTATCTTTTGTGATCAGGTATCTCAGTTGTCCATAGGTAGTGCGTCTGTTACTGTTTGTGACTAGGTTCATGTAACTCAGTGAACTATAATTAGTGATTGTGACCAGGTATCTCAGTGGTTTATAGTATAATTAGTGTATGTGACCAGATATATCAATGATCTATAGCTAGTGTTTGTGACCACATAGCTAAACTGACTATACGTGTTGTTGAACATTGACTTAAACGTTACATATAATCAGTAGTTCAATTTTTCATTTTCATATTTATGAACTGATTATTTCACACGTTTCGAAAAGTGAAACATATAAAAATTAGTCTAAGTCATGGCCCTAGGTCTACTCTAATTCCGTGGTGAAATGACGAATCATATCTACATGTAGCTTATTTTTTCCAAATCTCGTGAGCTACGTCCGCTTAATACCTTTCGACTTATAGGTCAGAACAGGGAATTAGATTGCTATCGAAGTCGGTGCTAGAATTGACCATTTTTGGCCAGTAAACCTGCTTACACTATTCTGATACCCAATGATTTCATCAGAGAGAACAACTAAAAAGACGATTTACACTCTAAAGTGTTTTTACCTAGGGGGCATATGCACATCTTTTATAATTATTCATGTTTTTTGTAATATTTGATTTTGAGCACACGGCTTTTTCCCCATAACAAACATTCCAAAGGTTGGCAAGTATGCATTTATCATTTATTAATATGTATTATTTGTTTACAAAAAATAGGTGCAATAAACGCCTTAATTAAATACAGATACAATTAAAGGGTAGAACAAGTATTAGAAATAATAACGTTAATGGTAAAAGACAGTGTACATGTAAAGGGGACTTAATGGAATGTTTGATGCTAGTAAAAAAAAAAAAAAGTTTCGTTGTTTTTAACTAAATAGAAGAGACAAAACTGATGAAATAACTTGTCAAAATAAACTTTTTTCAACACGTCTAATAATAATATCTCGTCGTCAGAAAGCTACGTTATCGCAGCTAGATTAAAACCACAGGGGTTCATTACACCTGTGTATGTTTATGTGTGTTGTGATCGATATCAGTGAAGCATATGTGTATTTCAGACTTGTGTAACGAACCTCTGTGATTGAACCGACTGACTTGAAGAAAATCGCATCAGGGTGGGGAGGGGGACGGGGAGTCATGTTGTGACCAGAGACATATAAAGCCAGTAGTATATACGTCTCTGTTGTGACACATAATTCGAACTGACAAAGTAGCTAGGCTACGCATACTTACTTTGAACCTACACATGCGAGTACATACATGTATCTCAGGCGGCTCATCAGCATTGTCGTTGATAAACAAAGAAATCCTTCGTCTGACCGGTTCTCCTTTGCACTAAAGTTACTAGACTTGCACAGGCCTAGCTTTCGAGAAGCCGACGGTTTCTTGTTGAAAGAGTGACAAACACCATAACCATCAATACCACAACTACCATCACCACCACCACCATCACAACCACCGCCACCACCACCACCATCGCCACCACCACAACCACCACCGCCACCATCACCACCACCGCTCCAACCGTCACCATCACCACCACCGCTACCACCACCACCACCATCACCACCACCACCACCACCACCACCANCACCACCACCACCACCATCACCACCACAACCACAACCACCATCACCACCACCACCGCCACCGCAACCACAACTACTACAACTACATCGTCGTTGCTGGTTTTTAAGGATCGTTATGATAAGGTGGTGATGGTGATGATGATGCAAGTAGTATATGCTTTTAAGATCAGTTGTATCTTACCCGGCAATCACCAACAACATTACAACAAACGCCACCACCAACACAACCAACCCATTAAGCATTACCACCATCATCACTGCCACTAGTAACACAACAGTACCACTATCAACACCACTACCACCACGACCACAGCCATCATCACCAGTTACAACTACTAACAGCATCACCTGTACCACCACCATCACAATGGCAACAACCGCCACACAACTACAAACAACTTCAACAGTACCACCATCACCACTTCTAACACCACCACAACAACAACCGCAACCATCACCATCACCACCACCTCCAACAGCACCACCATCACCACAACCATCACCATCACAACCACTACCATATCGACACCACTAACACGAAGATCACCATCACAACTGACACTATCATAAACACCACAACAACCAGTAACCTCGATCGCCAGCGCCACAACCACTACCACCATAACCATTACCACCACAACCGCCACCACCAGCTCCACCAACGCAACCACCATTACAACTACTAAAAACATCAGCACAACCACCATAATCATCACCACTAGCACCACTACAACAATAATAACCACCACTACTACAACCACTACGACTATCACAACCACCAGCATCAGCACCACAAACATTGCCGCAACCACCACAACAATCATCGCAACCACCATTACCACTTACACAACCACAACCACCACCGCTTCAATAACTGCATCCACCATCACCACCAGTACCAACTCAAACACAATCACAACAATTACCACCTCCACCACATTAACCAGAACTTCTACAACTACAATTTGTATCACCAGTACATCAACTTTCATCAACTTTCATCAACTTTCATAACCACCACCACCACCACCACCACCACCACCACCACCACCACNACAACAATCACCACCATCACCACCACCACCACCACCACCACCAACACCACCACCACCACCAACTGACACAACAAACACAACCACCATCATTCCTACGAACTTCTTCAACACCTACATCACTATTACAATCACCACCATCATCACCACCATCAACACCACCATCAATACCTCGACAACCAACACAAACCCCACCACCATCACCAACTACTCCACAACCACAACAACAACCACAACTACTATAACTAAATTGTGTATCACCAACATCACCGTTTGCACAACAACAATTATCACCATTACAACCATCACAACCACCACCATTACCACTATCACAACCACCAGCATCAAAACCACTACCGCAACCACGACAACAATTACCGCCACCAACATTACCATAACAATTACCACCACCACTATTGCAACTACCACGACAATCACCACCACTATCACAACCACCAGCATCAAAACCAAAACAAATATAACTATAACACAACCAGCACCATCACAACTAACACACTCACCACAACCACCAAAACCACCAAAACCACCACCATTACCATCATCATCATCACCACCAACACTAACACCACCATCACCATCACTATCACCAGTACAACATAATCATCACAACCACCACAAACACCACCGACTCTTCCATCAACACCTCCAACCCCACCTTTACTATCTCAATCACCATCAACATTGCCAACAACACCTCCACAAACACCACCATCCAGCATTGCCACCTTCACAACAATCACTATCACCAATACCACTACCACTTCCATTAATACTTTTACCACGACAACCAACATCACCATTACCACCTCCAACACCACAACCACCATCATCATATATTGCCTCGCGCATGAATATTTGTATGATGTATACCTTGGGCATGAACAATTAAAGTAGTTCGCAAAAATGGCTACAAGCGTGTTGTCGCATTTACAGACACAACAGAGTGATTTAAGTTTAGCAATAGGAATCTGAGCTGAAAGTAAGATTTTTTATTGTTTCGATTTTTTCCCAGGAACAAACTGTCGCGCAAGGATAAATACAATGAACACCGTGAATCTGACCACGATTGAGTTATTTTCGGAAGTTTTTGGGAGGAATCAAGGCGTGAATTTATTTGTTGATTGAATGGGAATCTGACTACAGTCGGTAGATTCTACAACAGCCTCGTTTTTTTACATGTCGTCAGAAACTGAGGAAACCGTGGCTGCGAGACGCGTGATACTGATATCGTTTGAAGTGAGTGATCTTGCGATGGAGCACAGGGGTTCGTTACAAATGTTTGAAATACAGATATGCCTTGTGTATGTTTATGTGCCCTGTGACTCATATCAGTAGGTCTATATCATATGCGTCAGTAAGTCTATAGCATATGTGTATTTCAGACATTAGTAACGAACCCCTGTTCATCTCTACAGTGTAACAGACGATATTTCTGATGAATTTCATGAGTGTCAAAATAGTTTCCATTGCCGGCATTGGTTATTTTAACCGATGTGCATTTTGTACGATATTGCAGACCTTGGTCTTGTTTTTGTTGTAATACAAGTATTTCCTTTTTTCTTTTGCACATTTACATTGTCAAGTCACATAATGCCCAGCGATATTTCAGCAGCCGTCATGTTTATTTACACTGGATATTGTAGTACCGGTCGATGTTGTATTAATACGCTACGAATTATGTCTCGTGGTGCATGGTATTTAAAGTCCCATCAACGACACAGATTTCAAATAGCATATATAGTAACAATGCCATGCAAATGTAAATATTTTTGTAGAAACGGAGGGTGTGACCCCCCTTGGGGCAGAGAAGCGGGGAAATAGATGAAATAGGGAAAATAGATGAAAAAACTTTCAAAACCGTATTCTACTATAGGGATTCATTCCTATGGATGATAGTAGGGTAAATATTTAGTTAGAATTGTGAAACAAAACTCAAAGGCTTATAATCACTTTTATACATTAAGCAAACAGATAATCATCGCAATGTGCACATCAATGAATAATTAAAGAGTGGTATGTACATGACGTCTTTGCAAAGAGCCTAAAATGCAGACAAAAAGAGGTGAGTTTTTATGTATTCTTATATTTGGCCAGGGTATTTGACTTTCTAATAGCAGATGGTAAGATATTCCACAACGTTGCCGAAACCCTCCGACCGCAATAATCGTGACGGCTGAATCAAAATGGAACGTTTGACTCAGCCAATAATTTTGTTCATAATTGAGCTAAACAAATGAAGCAGTGCTTCAGGACATATTTAAATATTTGTGTAGGCAGTGGATCAAGCTCACAGGACTTTGATTGCGAGGTTATGATGATATTGCGCAACTCGTCCTTGATTGTTGGTGAGAGCTTTGTCAATGGTTCCTCATCAAATTTAATGTCAGCAGTAGAGATCACTTCCGATATATTTTTCCGATCGAGCTGATTTTTTTCCAGAAAATAATCAATGAACTTGTTCACCTTTCTGACCCGTGTAGTTTTTGGGGAGTCTGAACAGCTGTCTATGGTCCTTACTACATTCTTCAATTCTTTCGAAATAATAAGCCTTCTTTGACTGAATGAGAAGTGAACCAACTAGTCGACATTGACTCTATAAATGTTGGTTGATTTTCCTTATAACACGGGGCATTCAGACACCGAGCGACAGTTTGAAGACACTAAATTCAGAGTAATAACTGACTTACAGAAGATCTTTCGATACTTTTGTTGCGTTTTTTAAAAGTGAATACATGATAGATTTATAAACGTCTGTGTGATAAGCAATTGGCGGCCTCGTTTCCAGATGAATTAGTGGCAGTCATTAATAAATCATTTCACATTATAGCTCTAACGGGCCACCGTAAATGTCTACCGGCTTGTCGCCTCACTGAATCTATGTGAACAAAATACAGTTGGTATGATTAAAATATAAGGTTCATTTTATCATAACAAAGAGTATCGGATTTTGTTTGCATCTGATTTGCAGCTAAAGCATTTCAGTGCATGAATAATGTAAAACTTATTCACTGGAGTTTAAAAAGCTGTTGACCTTCAACAAGATGGCAGACATTACGACAGGTATTACATAATATGAGGTAAATGCGTTTAACTTCCCGCAACATCTATCACAGTCTCAGTATTTTGTGAACACTGGTTTGTTTATAAATCTCTTTTCGGATCCTGTTGTGGTCTTTTAATTTAGATTCAAGTTACTTTGTTTTATTGTATATCAAATATGTTTACTCACCTGCCTCGAAGTGTCTGTAATGCTATGCTGTTATATCGTAAATCAGTAGTCTATTAACTATTTTTATGTACCTCTTAATATTTGACCAGCAGATATCTTGAACGATTACGGAACACTTACTTTTAAGGTAACTGTGGTCTTGCAGGTAAACGTTTCAAACAACATTATACAACAAAATCACTTGTGCATGCTATAAAGACCAGTAGTTCAATTATTTATATGGAAAAAACCCTGGAAATTTAGTCCAATAGTCATAGCATAGAAATAAGTACTCATAAATGGTATTTTTTTATATGTATTCGGGGTTTAGATAGACTTTCGGTAAAAAGCAAGACATTATATAATAATATATGAATAAATAGATTGATAGATAAATCAATCAATAAATATTAGGCATGTTGTACATTGAACTACTACTCATTTGAAGTCATGTCAGCTCATATATTACATGTACACTTAGGAAGTTTTAAGACACCACAGACAAAATCCATCCCCCAGTGAGATAGATAGTTGGGTTGAGAAATCGTGCCGGGTGGGAAAACGTGTCACCTATGCCATCTGTTTTGCACGATTTCTCACCGCGTGAAAAAATGTGTCTGGTGAGAAATCGTGCCGTAACTAACGTCAATCCAGCCAAGCGTTTTACTTGACAATAAAGCAACATACTAAATGTATTTTGTCAACAATTTATAAACGATCCAGGAACACTGACCAATGACCGATTGATGTTATCGTTCAAGATGTGTTACCTGCATTTTTATTTCGTTTTACTCCTTAAGGAAAACCGATCTTTTTTTTAACAGATTGCTTTGTTTTATTGCGGCTAACTATAAACACTCACATTGACAACGCAGAGGTGGACGCACAGTCGAAAAATTGCCGATCAACATTATATTATAATATGAAGAAGAATGGCATGTATATGTAATGTTATACTACCTTCAGATCAATGTCATCTTCTTAAATATCTGCTCTCAATGTACAAAGGTTTTGAATACAATGTGAATCACGTACGAAAACTTCAAAAGTTACCCTTTTTCCAAATGTAATGTACAAACCATTACTGGATAGTGCGGTAAACAGTTGGATATTTTAAAGTAAAGCAAGGGCTTATTTGGAAATTATTCAAATAAAACAAAACTAAAAGAATGATTTCTTTAACGATATTATGTGCATGTATAGATGTCGACAGCTTATTTTGAAAATCGCAAAAAGGCAGGAAATCCGTATACAAAAAGGTGTTTATTTTTTCAAGTTATTTAAATTTCTAGGCAAAATAAAATCCAGCAGAATTAAATTCTGTCAAAAACCTAAGAATCGGTCTAGTGTCAGTTCTTTGCCAACTCTAATAATCTGAAGAAAAATCATAGAAATGTATACAACAGTATTTTTGAAACTCTTAAGTAATAAGGTCTATCCGTTCTGTAAAGGGGCTAGTACAGGACGGGACTGTGCATTGTGGCGATTACAGGACGGGACTGTACATTGTGACAATTACAGGACGGGAATGTACAGTGTGACGAAAACAGGACGGGACTGTACATTGTGACGTGTACAGGACAGGACTATTCATTGTGACAATTACAGGACGGGATTGTACAGTGTGACGAAAACAGGACGGGGCTGTACATTGTGACGATTACAGGACGGGACTGTACATTGTGACAATTACAGGACGGGACTGTACAGTGTGACGAAAATAGGACGGGACTGTACATTGTGACGTGTACAGGACAGGACTATTCATTGTGACAATTACAGGACGGGATTGTACAGTGTGACGAAAACAGGACGGGACTGTACATTGTGACGATTACAGGACGGGACTGTACATTGTGACCATTACAGGACGGGGCTGTTCATTGTGACGATTACAGGACTGGACTATCCAGTGTGACGATTACAGGACAGGACTGTACAGTGTGACGATTACATGACGGGGCTGTTCTTTGTGACTATTACAGGCGGGGCTGTACTTTGTGACAATTACAGGACGGGACTGTACAATGTGACAATTACAGGACGGGGCTATACAGTGTGACGATTACAGGACGGGGATATACAGTGTGACGATTAAAGGACGGGCTGTACATTGTGACGATTACAGGACGGGACTGTACAGTGTGACGATTACAGGATTCTCGCAAGTAAGGAGCGGTCACTTTTGATTGCCTTTATCAAGGTAACAGGATGCTTCTAAATTTACATTGACGGACGATTCGGTATTTATTAAACTGTTTTATAAAAGTTAAATATCTTGGCCAAATTTCATCCAAGAGCTCTGACTGAAAAGCACTGTTTTACCTGATCAACATATTATTGAACTTAGCCTTACCTGTGTTGGAGACCGTTATCCAGACCCTGAGTCGAAAAGAAATTCGTCGTCAAGGCCACCGTGACATCTTCAGGTGTGTATTTTAATTAGTAATACAACTGATGCTTTTTGGTTATAAAAGTTATTTCTTTAAATCGTAGAGCTTGAATACGTTAATAATTGCTGTCCTGACTTGTTTTGAAAAATAGTTTTAATACTCTCCACCTAATGAGGGTAGATTGAGTTAACAGTGTTGAGTGTAACCTTCATCTAATTACAAGCATTCGACGTACAGTCAACAAAATACAAGACAATAATGAGAACGAAAAGGGCTTTGTATGTATCTTATTAATTACTGGATATCTGGCAAGAATTGTATATATCATAAAGTGCATCAAACACATTGCACTTTTGATTGATGCTATATGGAACAATATGAAAACGGATAAAACAAGCAGGATACATTGCTTTAGTCAAAGAGTGTGCACAATTTACAACAAATTCATACTATCGTTTTTTTTATCTCATTCTTCTGCCTTTGACAGCAATTTTGTTCCTGATGAGAAATTTCTTCCTCAAAAATATTTTTTTGTAAAGGTAATACAATTCCCATTAATAAATAAGGCTTAGATGAAATATATGAGAATAATCACATATAAAATGAACTACAATAATTGTGACATTAAAATTGCCATATCATTTAATTAAAACACAAATTGTGAAACAGGACTTAACAAAATACAACAGTACAACTGTTAACTGGTCTGATATAAAGAGTAAATATGATCTTGATATAAATATGCACCTTATCCATTGACGTCTGCAAAACAACTAGCTTCATGTAACATAAGTACAATATAC